AATCCTCTATTGAGCCCCCCGGGGGCTTATTTATCTTAATTTATTTTAAGCTCATTTGAGGGGGGGAGGGGGCTAATGGAGACGAGGGGCTTATTTGTGAGGGGGGGGGGGGGCTTTTTTAATCTAGAACAGACGATGGTATCAGGAAATCAGTTCTTTTAACGAACTAGAAAAAAAAGAAAAAAATCCCAAGTACAAGAAGGTTGGGGGGAATGCAACTAAGAGTGAGATAGAAAACCAAACTTTTAGTAAAAAAATACTATGAAGACAAAGTAAGGAAAATAAAAGAAAAAATATCCGAGGAGCCCCCGTGGGGGGTTTTGTTTTTTCTTGGTTTTTAGAGGTTTGGGGGGGGGGGGGGGGGCAAGGAGAGGGGGGGGGGTGATGGGTGGGGGGGGGGGGGGGGCTTATTTAATCTAGAACAGACGATGGTATCAGACAATCAGTTCTTATAACGAACTAGAATACAAAGTAGAAAATCTCAAGTACAAGAAGGTTGGAGGTCATGCAACTAAGGATCAGAATGAAATCCGAACTTCTAGTCGGTAAATAAACCATCCTGGATCAGTCCAAACGAAGTTCTTCAGTCGTTATTGATTAATTAAGTCAATCATTTATCAGTGAAGAATAAAAAGGGGAAGGGGAGGGGGCTTATTAACTTTCTTCCCCTGAAAAGGGGGGCTTATTAGAGGTAGGGGGCTTATTTGAGAAGGGGACGTAATAGAAGATTTAGGGTACATGTATGTGTATATCATACGCAATGATAGAGATGTGATGGTGAATTTTGTGCCTGGTGAATACACGAGAAGGATGTTTTTTCAGTCAGTGACACAGGCGGCTCGCAAGAAAAATCCCGAATAATCCCACCAGGAGTCGATCCTATGACCTTGGAGACTTGGAGGTGAAATTTGCCCGTCTGAAGTAATCAGGCAAAAGAGCCATTACGTGAACACATTACCTGTAAATGGTGACCTGGAACAGCTTCGTGAAGCGCAAGGGAAACCATTTCAAACTTGGGTCTGAAGAAAAAAAATACAAGGAAATACTTCTAGCAACAGAGCTGTAAATGACAGTCGGTGAAAGGACAATGTCCTACTAAAATGAGGTCAGTCAGGTAAAAAGAACTATTATTTGCTAGCCTGTTGCAAGAAAAATGTAAGTATCAGCTGGCCGGCCAAATCGGTTGTAATCTCATTGCGTATTACAAACAAATTTAATTGCAGGCGACAAGAGAAGCCCGCAAACCTAATCTCCTTTACGCGAACACGGCACGTATGTAGCCAGCTTCGTTTGGACTTCCACGCAATCTGATCTGACGCGCGTTTGGACCTTGTATCACTCTTAATATGACCACGCGTGTTTTGGCTAATACAAAGCACACTTAAGCGTTTGAAGCAAAAGCGTTTTGACCTTCGATCGTTCTCGCACGCACTCTGTAACCTTCGGTTATTACTAGTGTATATTAGTGAAAAGAGGACTTCCATTGCTTACCTCGTATCAGGTTTGTAGGTGTTGACCCAGAATTGTCCAGGCCTTGTGCCATCCTCAGAGGGACCCATATAGTAAGCCGCTGGAGCCACGGGGGCAGCATCTGCAGGCGTCTCGGCAATCCTGTGTATTATAAACAAATCTAAGTGATTTTGAACGGAATAACTTTAGTAAATAGAGAAATTCCACAAATTGACTACAAACACACCACTCTGAACTTGCCTCAAACCAATAAGCTTCTTGAGATTTCCGGCGGTAGTCGCAGCCAATGGGGTCGCGGAAATTTTTGGCGTGCAGCAAAAAGGATCATGGGAAAACTTCAAGAACACACAGGCACATGGGAGGGCAAGGCTGAATGAGAAAGGAAGCGCGTTCGTCGTTTTTACCCTTCTTATGACCTCTTGCATCGCGACTGCAGCGGAAAATCCCAACAAGTAGCCTCGACGCAGCTGTTCTTAGGGGTCCGTCACGCGTTTCTCCGTGACGATCCAAAAGAACGTCTGCGTGTGAGGCTACCCGACAAGCGCACTCTTGACAATTCTGCTCGGTCAGGGGACTTACTCAAATGGTGTCTTGGGCATTTCCTTGAAGTAATCCTTTAGCTTTGGCTTAATAGTGTTCTCACATAGATCTTTATAGCCATTTATAAGTTCTTCCTGAAAGAAAAGGTAATTTAAAACTCCCCAGCCTCTAAATGGCCTACAAAGTCATACTTGATGTTTTTTTTAAAAAACATCAAGTATAGCAAATATAGCAATCAGGGGCGTAGCCAGCTTTTCGACTAGTTGTAGGCCTGCACAGTCCTCACTAACACTTTGACCTCTTATGCCTTTTAGCTCACCCCCAAAAAGGAATAATTTATAACAAGAGGTAGAGTGATCAAAGCAAAAATTTGTAGGCCCGGGCCTTCAGGTTTATAGGGTGGCTACGCCCCTGGCAATGCTATTCAAAATAAATGTAAATGTGATCCCTCGCAGTTCTAATTTCAAATTGAGCAGTAGAAAACGAATGTAAAACGATTCAGGATGGGTAGGTCCTGACTTGCGCGATAACCGAATCGGGCAGAATCATGCTTGTTTTTCGTTTATGTACATTTTCCAGGTAAGAAAAGACTAGGTTCTAAGGTCCACTATTTTACCATAACGTGCAAATGGACCTTTGTCACATGACGGCCATTTTGTCCCGAGAGACTAAAGTAATTTTGCTTTACCTGCCTAGCCTCGCTCCCAAGTTTTTTACTGCGAGGTCGGGGGTAGCAAAACAAAGCTATTTTCAGTCTCTCGGGACAATAAAGCGTGTGAGTAACGCCCATGGTCAAATGCTCTGTCTCATCGATCGAAACACATCAAGAGATTTCATTTTACTACTGTATTGTATAATTAAGGGATAACATCGTCATTGCAACTCTTAGTTGGTTGTTACCATATTTATACTGTTACGTAAATCAAATGTAATAACATAAAAACAAATAATATTTATAATAGCAATAATAATAATAATAATAATAATAATAAAATTAAAATTTACCTTTGTGTCGTAATAAAAACGCTTGTCAGTTCTAAGCATATCTAGAAACTCTTTGAAATTTCCTGCAAACCCAACCTGCTTGATTATCTACAAGAAAGCAAATAAACTGTACTGTAATGCTGCTTGCACAGTGGTGCATACAAACCCTTAGGTAAGTAGTGGGGAAGGGGAGGCCCGGGCACTCGATCTCAACAGGGAGCCGAGGTTTTTTTTTTTGTTGTTTTTTCACTTCGGCAAATGATTGTGATCCAACTTTTTGTTCACCTTATCGTGATTATTCCAACTCGTTTAAAATGTCAAAGGTAGGTGAACTTTCCCAAGTAGAATTATTGGGACTGCACTCAAGTTTAGAAAGAAAAAAACTGTTGTCGTGCGCTTACGATGTCCACAAAACGTCGTATAAGGAAATTACATGTCCTAATTGCACAGTAAAGGAAAATTAAGATGTACTAAAACGTGTCATGCACGTGCAGAATGAAGGTAACGTCCCTCAGGCCCCGGAGTCCAGATTCGTGTGAACGGGGCCTGGGCCTCTGAGTACGTGGTTTCAACTCGCCCGTCAACTCGCCCTGGTTTACATGGACGGGACCTAGGTAGCAGTTTCAGCCTGCCCAGATCTCTAACAGTGATTACCCCTCAGCAACACTCAATGTGGAGCTGGGGTTTGTTGTGGTAGGACCGTTGTGGTAAGGCTTAGGCCTGAGCCAAACGTCGAACTTTTCATGACACAAACCAAACTTAGTGTTTTAAGTTAAGTTCGTCTGAATGAGTTTGAATCGTCAATCATGTTCTATCCGTCTGCTTCAGACGGGAACACTTACCTGGATTTGTGTCGACGCCGGGGCCTGAAGGACGTTGCCTTCATTCTGCGCGTGAATGACACGTTTTAGTTTAATCCGTCTGCTTCAGACGGATAGAACTTCTGAAGATCGTCTCCTCAGTGGACAAACGTCGATCTTCATATGCCACGAACTAACTAATAAATTAAAAATTTTAGTATGATAATGTATAATTATTTACCGTAGTCTTGTTTGGGAGAAAATTTATTAACATTGCTTTTTGGTCTGATTCAGTTGATTAGTTCGACGAGTCCCGAGTTCGACGAGTCCCGAGTTCGACGTCTGACCCAACAGACGATCTTAACTTAGTTTAGGTTAGTCTGCTACACAGCCGTTTTTAGTGTCGTCACACAACGCTCCTCCCTCCAAATTATAGTTTGGTTCGTCTCATGAAAAGTTCGACGCTTGGTCTAGGCATTAGTTATGATGCTAACAGGATTAAAATGTCCAAAATCTTAACACCGCAAAGTGTACTTACCTCATCCATTCTTGACCTTATTCGTAGGACTTCAGCCTGCCCCAATTCATGAACTTCTTGTGCTGTCATATCACAGGCAATGTGGAACTTTAACGCCTGATTCATAATTCAATAATTGTGGTATTTAAGAGTCAATTAATGAAAGAGCTACATAGAGTGTATGTTACAATGAATTACTACGTTTTTATGGGAAATCGCATGTTACAGAAAAAAAAAACAGTCAACTCATGCGGAGGCCACACCATGATAATATTACATGTACTCATTTTCGAATGTTACAAAAAATTGGACTGTCAATGTACATCGGTGTATTTAGCACAAAAGTACTACAGCTGCACATATAATAATATTGAATACACTAAATCATGTCTTCCACCGGGGAGGGAACACCACTTTACGTGCTCGTCCGAGCAACACGAAGGTCTTGTCATTTGCAAAGCAAAGCCAGTACCATTGTATTTAAGACCCTGGATATATTGGTTCATCCTTGGGTATCCAGCCCACAACTTCCTCCACTCTGAAGTCAAGCACTCTACCGACGGAGCTAGTCCTTCTCGGGTCAGCTCTTACACAACATAATACCATGTCTACACTTCTTACCTGGTTGTAAAATGCAGTTCCATTTGGAAATTCGCTGCATGAAATGGACTGCCTGGTCTGGGGAATGTACTTCTGCAAACCATAAGCAGAAAACTGATATTAAATCTTTGGCAGCATTAACCACTCTGCACTGTAGTAAATAACTGCACTGTATTAAATAACCATAATTATTCTAGAGCGAGCAACATTCAGTTGTTCAACTTATACTCACATGTAAATAAAAGTCATGGATTTTCTTAAAAGCGGGCTTCACTTTTTCCTCTATCAGTCTAACACCACGTTCTTTGAATGACGCCCTGTGAAGGGAATACAGTAAGTGACACAACTGATCGGATTCAAAATTGTCCTTACCTCCCTAGGCCATTTCAAAGGGATTCGGGAATATAGCCAAGAAAGGACACGACATTCATGATTGTAATAAGTGAGCACGTGATCCATCACAATTTGGCAATTCAGAACAGACGGGAATCTAGTGGATTAAGAGCAACGGTGCCGGAAGTCTTTCCAGCACACAGTGCTCTGCCTACGTTTCACACCGGCCATGTTCAAGACGCTAATTAATAGTGAATTTGTACAGCCTGCTTAGGACTGCACACCAAACGTACCGGGTTAGATCAATAAGGGAGAGGCACCGAGGGTATAAATACAACAAGATAAAAGAAAGACAACTTAAATTAATATCATTTAACCCTCAGAGTCCCAAGTCTTCTGCTTCACAGCTGTTCGTTGTGTCGTCACGCAACGCTCCCTCCCAAGAAACAGCTGCAAAGCAGACTACCTTATTTTCACGAAAACCTTGGCTACAACAAAAACTGCAGAACACACCTTTCCTCCACTGAAAAGGTTTCTGGAAACTTCTTCAGTGGTGTAAAAACACTGTTATCTTCTGTAAATGCTGCATTTATCACTTTCATAATTTGTTCAGGAACATGGGCCTTTAGAGTACATGTAGTAGAAAATTGAAAATACATAGGTTTAATACCTAAGGAGGCCATGAAGGGAACTAGGGGAATGCTGCAAAGTTCTTCAAATCCCTGTTTAAGACAACATCCGTTCATTTCCCTACCCAGTTTTATAAGACGACAGATGTCTTTTTCGACTGTAAACATGCACATGGAGGGTTCAAAATAAATTGGGCTTATTTTGTGCATGCGTACAATCTTGTACCCAGAATCCTGTGGATTTTACGACTCCAAAACTGTATGTACATTTAGCACATTCTTATTGAGCACTCTCCCCAATTTACTCCATTTATCAAATCCTGCTCAACAGAATCAGAGTGAGATGAATTTTTCTCCCACTCGAACATTTTTTGCGTTAATGTAAAAAAGTCTACTGAGACTGCATGATGAGCCAAAAGAATGTTTGCATAGAAGCCTCAAAATGACCCGAACACTTATTAACCCTTTAAGCCCCAGTATCAACATACAAATTCTCCAAACAACTGATCTCCATACATTTCCTTAAAGAATTAGTTGAGAGAATTTGATAATAGATCAAGGCATTTTCTCTTCGGTGATCATTTTATTTATTCTCATAACTTATAGACCTTGACAGTCTATGGATATTGTTAGGAGAAAATTGATCTTGGTCACTATTGGGACTTAAAGGGTTAACAATAACAGGTTGGTTATTATTACAAAAGCTCAGATAGCTGTCATTACGAGCACACAAAAATTGCACTTACATGTATCTTCATATATCATAGTTTTACTAACTTAATTGAATCCCCAAATAAACTTTATATCAGAAATTGTGTACTGCAACCCACTAAATGATGAACTTTGACGAACAAATTTAGTTTTTTGATGCACTGCTATTATTGTTATTATTATCATTATTATTAATTGCTTTTAACTGAAATGAACTAAATTAAAATGTTCAATGTGTTTTTGTACTCAAAATGATATTGTAAATAGTGCTTTAAAATGACTGTTTTTTAAAGCAAAATTAATTGTAAAAAGGTTTTTAATAGTATGCTTTGTTATCAATTATTGACTATCAATATTATGTTTATTATTACTATTATTATAATTGTTAGCTTTGCATATTGGCAGAAAGTTCCTTTCCTTCAACAATATCATCCTCTCTCCAATACTGAACCCTGGACAGACGGCATAACTGACACAGTCCATCAAAGGGTTGATCTCTACATTCTTGCATGCGTAATGAGCCCTGAATTCACACGTGAGGCAGTTATGAAATTTCTACCAGCTCCGTTTTCCTGAATTTGATGTAAATGTCTTCTAAGAAACTTAATCCATTCAAAGATTTTCAATCTGACCAAATACAGAGAAGTTCTCGTAAAATATTCACTGCTCATTACACATGCAGAAATGCTGCTTTGAATTTGACACCAGTTACAGGAACGACTAACGGATTCATTTTTCAAATAATCAATTCATTAATAGAATCTTGTGGGGTACGCTTGACCTGCCTTGACTGTAACAAATTTTTGGGAAAAATACCAAAATGTACGTTATATCGAGGTATGGTTAATAATTAATTTACAAAACCAGCTTTTCCAGATCTGAAAAATTTCTGTAATAACATTTCAGTATTGAGCTATATATAGCTACGGCATTAGAAACTCAAGAACAGGCAAACAAAACTGCTTAAAACTTCTGTACACATAAACAATTATTTTATCCTTGTTGGACTGTTTGGCATTCATCTTTTATCACGTCGTTATATCGAGGTATATTTTACATTTGCGCTTGTGGATTGTGTTGAGAGCGTTATAACAAGGATTTCCTTAAATCAAGGTTCTATTCTGTACATTTTACTGTAATTTTGGCCAGGATTATTATTATTATTATTATTATTATTATTATTATTATTATTATCATCATTATTATTACGTGTATTATGGACCCTCTAATCTTGTCATGCTAAAAGATCAATCTGCTTGTTTTACAGTTAGCATAGACTCTCTGATGAGTAGCATCTAAACAAACATGCAACATGCGGGTTAGATGTTACTCATCAAAGTCTGATGCTATAAACACACCACATAAACATGTATACACATCATGATCTTGTCATGCTAAAAAAAAACCAATCTGATTGGTGTACAGTTAGCAAAGACTCTCTGAGGAGTAACATCTCATGGAACATGCAACATGTGAGTGACATCTTACTCAGCTGTTTCAGTTTCTGTCACACAAATGGTTGTGTTTCAAACAGTCAAATGCCTTATTAAAGTCCATCGCAAGTAAACGTACTGCCTTGCACTCTGGGGTATCAAGATACTGATTAACCTTATGCTGGATTGAGAAAAGACAGAGAAGTGTATCCGTACAGCTACCCCCCCCCCCCCCCCCCCCCCCCCCCCCCCCACACAGCGGACGTTTTGGTCCTTCCCTTTTCACACACCTTACCATCAAATCAATATCTTCTCATATCCCCCCCCTATATCACAACACACATCATTGACCTCACAGAGCCGCCCCCCCTCTCATACACCAATTGTTACAAACGGTCAACTCCTAATTTAAAGCCCACCCAAGGAAGCGTGCTACCCTGGCCCCTGGGGGAACAAAAGACTTATACACCTTTTGCTGGAGTGAAAAAAAACAGAAAAGTGTATTCGGTAAGCTTCCCCCCCCCCCCCCCCACCCCATCCTATATACAAACTGAGTTGTGATTTGGTGCCCTTCCATTATAACTAGCATTAACCATTAACAGGATCTTCTCAAAAGCCCTCGCAATGACAGAAGTAACGTTTATGCCGCGATAATCTGCGGCCTGACTTAAAATCAGCGTGCAAAGAATGTTGGGTCAAAATAATAGCCTATGGCTAGTGTATGCTTTTCTTACTTGCCCAACAAGCAAGTAAAGTTTTTTAGGGCATTATTTCAAAAACAAATAGTGTAAATTGTGGATCCTAAAACCAGTAAATTCACAGAGACCAAAAACTGTTTATAAAGCACGAAAATTAATATCAACAAATCTTGTTTTAATTAATCAATAATAAATTTATTATTAACCCAGCTCATCAAGAACTTTTCTTAGCTTCCCAAAAAGAAAGCTGTAAAATCGACTTTATTAACATCCTCAAAAAATCAACAAAAATTCTGAAATCAATTATTTCAATTTGTAAAATATTGAAATAGTGTACCAAGTGAATGCACTGCTGAAGAGATTTCAAATAAATTGTAAGACCATAGGATTTCATTCACAGCTAGAAAAGCCGCCTTACAAGATAGATGGCATCTCAGTCTGTTTCCCATTATGCTTTTATTGAAGCACTTACGACAGTAAGCTGAGGAGGTACATAGCGAGTTCTGATTCCTTCTTCCAGCAATGCAATCATCTCAGAGGCCTGGTCATTACGGAAAGAAAAAGTAAACAAGTTACATCACCTCACAGAGAAAGATCAATTTGATCAAAGGTATAACCAAGTGGCCTTTTCAAACCTAGGAAGCTTAAGCAATGAAGACAACAATGACAACATCATCAAAAATGCTACATCAACAGCATTGCATGTGCTGTGTTTGAAAAACATAATTATTTTTTTTCACTGATCATGACATCAACTGCACAACTACAATGCAAAAATTACTGATGTGACATTTAATGAGGACTTGAACAACTAGGATGAGCTTATGTTTTCCTTTTTGAACTTTTACCTACATTGTATTTCACAAATTGAGTGAGGCTAAATAAACCCAATAAATTTTTACAGAGTGCCAATTCTTTTTCTGAGAGACAATTTTACCACTGCCATTATTATGGTTGCTACCTACTCTTATAGTACCATGGTATTACACACCTGAGTTGGGAAAGCATTCAGTCTTGAAAAATATTTCTCATAATCCTCCTTGGTTTCAAATTTCATCCAGGAAATCAGCCGTGTAAAAAATTCCAGCTGAGGTCCCTCTAGATTTATTAGAGGAAACAAGTAGCTAAAATAAGACAAAGGCCACACAGTTATCATGAGTAGAAAATAATAATAAGTATTGTGACTGTAGGAAAAGTACACCATTTTTTAATTAAATGGTTTTTATCTTTAAATTAAGGTGATTGCCTTGTTTTGCACTGCACATCGCCTACTTTGAATAACATTGCCACATCAGGGGAAGTAACAATTTTCTCTGGCCACCTGAAAATATGTTACAAAGGCCCTTTTGTAGTCCAAAACTTTTTCCTTGCAATATTGATACTCATAACTCCTTCCAGATAAAACGGCGTTATATTGGAAATTCATCCCAGTCCTTCTGCATAAAAATTAACAATCACTTATATAAGACCGAATTGTTCCTTTGTTGTCTTGTTGCAATGAAACCAGCACAGCAGCCCCCCTTTTTATTAGTGTTAGTTAGTAGTAATTCCCAGGTCTATGAAAAAAAAATATATATTAAGACAAAAGAAAATAAGAAGTGAAGGCATACAGTGTATCATTTTACTTAAAAATGATATGAAACTCTACACTTGGAGCCAGATAGCAATATGAGATGATGATGAAACTGTCCAATTGTGTTAAGTTATTAATATCATAGGTGACGAATTACTCCTTAATTTTGGCATGAAATTTCAGCGTTAATTTGTAATATCACATGTGAAATTACTAAATTACCATGGCAACTGGCCGTACGTATCCGTTTCAAGATGGCGACGAAGTTTTAAAATGTCATGAATGAAGATGACAGGGCATAAAAAGACGCTTTAGAAAACCTGAACACACGAAGAGCACATCAAGATGGACTTCTAGAGGTATGTTGTCGAAAAATTCTGAAAACTTAAGCCACATTTCTGCTCTAAACGTTTGAGAGAGTGGAGTTAACGATCGATCAATACGATGCAGGATAAACAAGTCAAAAATCCTCGATTGCTAAGGTAATTCGTCACCTATGATATTAATAGGTAATCAAATGGTATACTCATGAAATTAGGGAATAATTTCGCTTGCGTTTTGTCCAAATCCTAATAATTTCCCTCGCCTAAAGGCTCGGGAAATTATAAGGATTTGGACAAAACACGCATGGAAATTATTCCCTAATTTCACTCGTCACCATTTGATTACACATACTAATTAAGCACAATTAATACTCCCCAAATATTTCAGATGTTCATGGGTTTTTGAGTTTTACTTTAAAAGAGAACTAGAAAGCTATAAAACATCGGAATTCCATTTATCTAACCTTTTATGATTTGACCCTTCCAGAAACATCTCGATTTCTCTTAGAAGCAGCTTCACATTTAAGGCATCAGTCTAAAATGAATGATAAGGTTAATACCCAAAAGTAGTGATAAACACAGGCCAGCTGTCAAAAACTAAAGGTAGCTAGAAGCTAGCCAGTCGTTAAATTAGAAAGATTTTCCCTACGGCCTTATCATGCCTCTTTAGTCAATTTGAACCTGTACATTGTAGCTGACCATTTTTACATGTATCATTGGTAGCAGTTGGCAATAAAAGCCAGTTTCTGCTGTTAATGACAAAAGTAATAAATAAAATTACTGTATCAAGCACCATGTAAGGACTTTTGCTCATCCTCAGTGTAGGGACGATATGGCCATTCCTTACCCACTGTAATATAATATTAATAATATTCTACTGATCTTCAAACAACATAGTTACTTGATAAACCCTTTGCCCCATGCTGTATCTACATGTACCATGTATATAAAGAAGGTGTTTACTGGGATCCTAATGAAGCAAAAAAGGATGACCAGTTAAGCCAACACACCCTGTCCCTTTATAACACAAAGTTAAAGGGTCATGTGTGCCACAGGACACCCAATTTTCTTATGGTTGGTGTCTGTAGCATGCTAAAAGGAGTTTCTCTCCTTTCTGGAGTCTATTGCAGGTCTATTGCAGATTACATCCCAGGCCTTCATGTGCCACTTAAAAATAATATCCATTTTAATAATAAAGCTTTGTGGACAGGAGAAAGTTTGGGCAAAGATACTACTTCTTGAAGGGACACGAGTTAAGGGCAGTGACGTAAGGGCTCTGCTTTATCAGGAAAAGGGAGTGATCTAGAATCTCGCCATGCAACAGAAATCACCTGTTCCTAACCAATATAATGACCAAAACCCCTTCTAGAAGCTTGGAGGACATTCATTTTTTGCCTGAAGCAATTTAATTCTACAAGAGAAATGTTAAAATACTACGAAAATGGTCAGTTTACCTTAGAAATATCAGTTGTACTAACTGCATTTAATCTCTTCATGAATTCTTTGCAGTCTTCCTGAAGTTTAAAGGAACAGTTACAAATAGATAACCAATACAAGTAAACTCAGTGATTAATATTAATTATCATGAGCTTTGTGAGTCACTACCTGGCCTCAGCTAAAAAACTACACTGGATAAAGACTTTAAATTGGCCATTTATATGCTAGAGATGTTAAAGTTGTCTTGACATATTTAACATCTGAGACTTTAATTAAGGTCCACTGGTGTAAAAAGGGGATGCATAAAAGTGGATAACATTAAAAAGAAAACAGAGTTTTACAGAAAAGATACAGAACACTGACTCTTCAAAGTCATCTCTTGATGAGCTGCGAATAAATGCATCCCAGTTTACAATGCCCTGTTTAATACTGGATGCATTTAATGTCTGAGACATTAAAGTCGTTATTGTCATCAGACATTAAATGTGTCTGTCTTAATTAGCGTCTTCTTTAATAGACAATTAAGTCATCTCAAGACAACTTTAAACTCTCAGATGACTTTAACTTCTCTAGCATAAAAACGGCAAATTTGTCCCACTCTTGTGCACGTACTCAACTATACTACATTAACATAGTTTGAAGTTTACTTCCTAAATGAGTGGCTGGTGAGCCTGTTTTTCTTTTCAAAGGTCCAGGAACTGATTTCTGATTGGCCGCATCCACTTACGTATAAGAGGTTGAGAGGTTTTTGTTTACAAAAGTTCCTTCCAACATCAGATATTTCTAGAAATTCACGTGTGCCAGTTTACCAGTATCCCTTCAACTGAATGGTGTGGAAAGAGCACAGGTGTTGCTTAAGATTCCCACGTGACAACATAGGTGATTTTTTCTGCTCCAACTTTAAAAGATGAGGCTTACATGGTATAATACCCAGAATCCACTATGTAAGACGTATGTCTTTCCACTAGGAAATTTGGGACATCTCTTTTCCCCAGTTCTCACTACTTTTCCAGCTCGGATCATGTATCTTTTGGGGGACTGTCGATTGTTGTATCAACTGACATCTTGGTCGACTCTTGACTGGGATATCAGTCGCAAGTCAGAAACTAAAGATTTTTCTAATTTTTGCCTCTTAGGGGTTGGCAAGTCTGTGTATCCCCTGCTAGCCCAGGCTTCTTTCTAGGAAAAGAGGCCTCTGCTAACAGGGAACATACTGTACAAAAACACTGTGCAGCTTGTAAGAAAAAACAGGCGACACAAACTTTAACATGCAGTCTTTTCTTCCACCACGCACCTTTTTCGTACATTGATACATGTCGATCAAAATCGATCGAATCGATAATGACGAGCAATCTTGTGGTCAATTTTTATCGATTTCTATTGATTAGTATCGAATTTGATCGTCAATTACTGATTTTTATGGACACTGGTAACGCCCTGGTCTGGAAAAAAATCAATGGCGGAAGCCCGAGTTCTGATCTAAAATACAGTACTTGGAAGAATTTTGTGATATCGGGAGCTTTTCGTTTGCGTATAAAAACAAAACAAACAATAGTCATGTGATCTTTGCGGTAAGCGAATATTTTACCTTACGCTTGGCATATGCATCTAAACTATGAACATCTAGGCAACTGTCGAAAGTATGAACGCCAATCTGCGTCGCGAATTCTGGACTCTCCCTCAAACGCCACTCCCAAAATGATCTCAAAATACTCTCCACCTCAGCTGACATCGTTGCATAAGACGTTAATATAGAACACACAAAACCCTAAAAAGTAAAGCTGGACAAAAAGGCAAGAATATTGCGAAAAGGCAAAAGCGAAAATATTTTTGAAGAGCCCGTTCGGTGGAAAAAGAAAGCGTGACACGACGCCTGCAAAGCTAACTGGGAAAGAAGTATAAATATTGGACGACTCAGCGGTTTCCTCGACACAACCACAACAATCGATTATGGCGAACGAACCCATGGAAAATGGTGTTAGTATTAACGACGGTTTAAACGAAAGATGTAGCACAGAAAAAGCTCTAAAATTCGCCAAGAAGTTGTATATACACGGAGGCAACATTTCCAACTGGAACAGGATCAAACGGAAGACTACACCTAGTTCATCGGATGAGGTTTGTTCTGAGTCTTTGGTGAGATTTTTTAATTCGAGCACGCGAGAGTGTACAAGCTTAGAGCCCTTCGTGATCTTCATTTTCGTCTACACTGGGTAAACATGCTTTCCTACAGTCTCTTACATTAAATCCTCCGTTAAGGAACTTATAAAGGTTATATTTTTCTGTTGTCACATACTATTTACAATCCTTCTGTGTAAACAATACCCCGGCCGGCTTCAAGGATTCTTTCGTCACGAATATCAGAAATCGATACAAAGGCAATGTGAGTCTTTTAATAGACTCATTCGTGCATTATAAACATTAAACTTGTTTGATTAGAAAATCGTTGAAAGGCAACTGTATGCGCGATGAATTCGCGTTCGTCGCGTGAGTCAGCAATTTAAGCTTCACTGTCAAGAAAAATGCAATCCATAGAATCAACATGTCTATATGGGTTATTTTTGGCCTTTGTGCATAAAATAAACACAAATCATTACTTTGCTACCGAAGTGATTTTGTTTAAAAAGCGAGTCAACAATTTCAAAAAATGAACGTGCCTCAATAAGTTGAAGTTTAGTTAATTAAACATGCAATTATGCAAGTACATTAAGAACACTTACTCCGTATTACATTAAAAAATGTATTAGTCAGGTCATTAGTATAGGGTGGGGTGATAGACATGTCTTTTCATTTTTCTCTGCTTGATAGCAGTAGTCCACCATCATGTGTTAATTAGCATTCAAATTTCTTATTTTTTGCCTACAATAAATAAAAGATATTGAATTAACTCAATTGAATATTATATTTTTAAAAAACTCAATTAACTCACTCAAACCCAAAGCACCTCCTCATTCCTAAAGTACTTAACCCATTCGCCCCCGAACCGCCCGTAACCGCCCGTGCAGATCCACGTCCTTTCTACCCTTCGTGGCGTCATCAGTTTTAACGGTCAAGGACAACTTTGCCCGCTAACTTGTGCAGAGTGAAGAGATCTTTCAAACCATACCAGAATGAGCACAATTCAGTCAAGGATACCGGAGAAAGAGGCAAAAAACCATGTAAAAATGCCCAGCAAGAGAAAAAAAAAATGAGGCAAGAAAAGCGAAAAAAGAGGGGAGGAGAGAAAGCGAAAAGTAAAAGTCAGGACTGCTGTGTCACTTTTAAACCCAAAAACTATCTTGAAATTTTGCTTTCTGCGCATGCCCGAACTTCACAAGCTGATATTTTGCATCTGGATCACAAGGCCATGAAGCGTACGACCTGTAAACCGGTTTGTGGTAAGTTTTAGCTCTTTATAGCACGACAGTGACGAGAAAATCACTCGACCAGCTTCAAAACGCGTTTTTGGGCAAAAACTCCAGGAGCGAATGGGTTAAATTACTTTCAAAAACAGGGATTATTATCACAAAACTTAAAGATGGACATCAGTTTAATATGTGGTGTTCTCAATATTATTGTAGCTATCTGAAAGCATTGGAACAACATTGAGCAGCTTAGTGCCTGGGAACAACAATGAAGAGGAATTTATTCCAGTAAGTTACAATAATTACTCAAGAAATAATTTTATTATCTGTTATTACAAGGGAGAAACGAGAAGAGATTGTAGTGTACATGCGGGACTTTACTAGTGCAGGAAGTTTGAGGTCATGTGACTAGACAAAGTTGTGTTTTTAGTGTAGCGGTGTAGGAGCTAAGTAGTGCTTCTGTCTACCAGACTATAAATGCCTTGGTGGCCCATTAGAAATACTACAGAGAAATCAAGTAACTCCTTGCTTTTTACTATGAAAACACAAGACATTAGAAAGCAGTTTTGAGAAATCATTAGTTTTCTAATTTTATGTTATTTTAGAAAAAGGCATTGAGATGTGTGAACCAAAAGTTTGTGGAAAAAATAGAGCGAGGAGAGAGGGAACATCTCAAAATTTCAGGTAATGTAATTTTTTTTTACTATTCTGATGAGACATTTTGCTATGCTTGTTTCTTCCCTAGCTTTATTCATTACATCTTAGGCCCTGTTCAAACATCACATTTCACATGTGCTGTATTTAATGCTAATGAGGAAAATCTGTTGCATTAGATTTGGCACTTGTGAAATGAGATGTTTGAACCGGGCCTAACTTACTTATCACAAAATAATTTCACTGACTCTCTGCCTGAAACTTAAAAATAAATTGTTCAACATCATCAATTCTCCCTTTGATTACAGTGAAAGTATTCGCAATTGAACTCAAACCTGCCATTATCCAGGATGCACTATTCAGAGGTGAGGCTTGAGGGTTCTTTATCCTTGGAGCAATGAATATTACTAGTCACAGTTCTATCCCTTAAACTGTTTTTTTCAAATTTGTTTCCCCTCTTACTAGCAATGTGTGAGCTTGGAGTGGAATCTGTGGAAACCTTGTTCTTAGCATTGCCAGAGATGTCTGGTGAAGATGCTTTTGAAGTTCTTAAGGGCTTCTGGGAGGTATGTTTAACTCTTTTTACCTTGTTGTTAAAACTGCATGATTATAACACCCAATAGTGATTTTTTTTTTTTAAATGTAAGTTACATATGGAAGTGTTCTGAAAAACTGCTTTATCCACTTTGAAATGCTATCCTCAGTGACTACACAAATAAATTTATTAAGAAATATCTCTTTCTTAGAGCAAGGATAATTTGATCTGAAATAGTTTAAGGTTATTTCAATGTTATTTCTTCCTCTTGATCAGTCAAATGACTGAAGGTCTTATTTACACTCTGTGCTGTTAAAACTTTTAGGAAATGGAGTTTCTATCAGACAGTGGATACATCAAAGATCTAGGAGTTTGTGACCTGGACAAGCCAACGCTGGAAAAACTTTATCAGTGGGCAAGGGTATGTTATTATCTTTTTTCAGTTTATCTCATTTTATGGTTATTATTTATTTAGTTTTGATTTTGTTTCTGATCGGCACCATTTCACCTCTAAATGTTCATGTACATGAATAACCTATGTTTAACTTACTAAACTGATTTTTGCAAATAATTCTTTGCAGATCAAGCCTGAGATCAACCAAGTCAATCTTGCTTCATGTTGCGTAATGCCAAAGGTAATTTATAATGTTATGATCAACCAATTGTTACAGGTCAGGTGCACATGTTAAACTAATAGTGCTGCATTTTTCCTTTTGAGGTTGCTTAGAGTGGTTATTGGGTGAACCTTTTGAGGACCAATCTGATATCTGGTTCTTTTGCGATTCAGCCACTGGCTGCAATAAAGTGATAAGTGTAACACTAGCCTACGTAGCAGGCTCTTGGCGCAGCATATAGCCTGCGAGCAAGCTCTCCTATTTTGGAGACCTGTTTCACTCGCCCAAACAGGAGAGCTTACTCGTAGGCTACGCAGCATAATACAGGTGCAACAGAAAGAACAAGGCATGTGAGGGGGACACACAACGTATTCCTTTGCATGCCGCATCCTTCTGAAATCGTACCGATAACTTCCAAGTGCCACCATTTCTTGTTAATGTTTTCTTTTCTTTTTCTTTTTGTATGGGAATGGGCTGTTGCCTGTAGAAGGTACTTTTTGTATGCCAGTGTAATTATATGACAAAGAATTAATGTCTACCCTCAGGGAAGTTCTCAAAATTTATTTACCTTGAATTTGAATTTTTAAAGTTTTAAATTTATTTTTCCTTGATTTTTTCAGGATCTTGTGGCATTCAGTGAGAAGCATGACATTCAACTGCTGACACATGCTGATCCAAAAGGTAAATAATGACTACCCTCAGAAACGGTTGTTTCATTTTCATCTAGGGGTAACTTACCAGAGACAGAGATCGCAAAGGCAAAACTGAGCCTCTTCGCCTCTCCTTCCCTAACCCCCCCTAACTCTTTTCTAACGGCATACTGTAAACACTGCTTTGATTTATCATGAATGCAATACTCTTTGTGCAGGTATAAAAGAAAACAATTTCTGTAATGTACAGCCATTTTCCCGGAACAAGATCCTGTTTCTAGTTTTTGTCTTTCTTATGAAAACTGAGGTTTAAGTACACTGTACGTGATTTTCCACTTCAGATATATTGACAAAGGAAAGCCTTGAAGGAGCACTGACTGAGAGCTGTAAAGATGTAGATGTCCAGGGATGGAGGCCAGTGTGGGCTCTGAGATACTCTGTACTTGTCAAATGTCGTGGTGTCATCAAAAACAAAGGGTATGTTAAACTACTACGTAATTCTATAAACTGACAGAACTTTGGTTTCTAGCTTTGTAAGCTACCGAGTTCCGTCAATTGACCAATCAGAACTTCAAACAGATGCATGCAGCTAGCACCAAGCGCGGGAAAAAGTCATTCTTCATGCAGTGCTTTATTTTCTCAGGAAGCAGAGCGAGCGAATAACTCTAAAGCGCGGGAAATCGCCACCCGCCAGGAAAAGTGCCATGCGGAGGGACTAGCCTGTTTTAAGGCTTCAGCAAGTGAAAAATCACTTCCGTTTGCGTCGTCTTCCCTATCTGAACTAGACTGCAAAACAGTCTGTATTTTTTCGTAAATTCAAGTACACGCAAGCAGTCAAACCAAAGGTATGGAACGAGGCTGAAAACGGAGAGCGAGACTGGGTTTTTTTCTCTCGCCTTACACGTCCTACGGGCGTCCAAAATTAATTTTTGTGTTCCTTTGTTTCAAGTTCATTAGCATATATTACCATACTCCAAAAGAAAGGGAATACAAGTGAACAATTAACCGCAACATCTACTTCGCCCTGGTATCGATCGATCGCCGACTAACTGCGTATAAACTCTGTTTTCTTTTCTTCAGTTACATCGTCAGCTGTGAGCAAGATTAACTCTTTCCTTAAAAACGCATTTTTGGAAAACTGAAGAAGGCTGAGAAGCCAAGAACAAAGTAGTCAAGAATTCTCTTCGTACTGCACATTTCCCAGGAAGCTGTACGCTAATGATCGCAACTGGCCATGTGTCTTCCATTACAACTTACGATGCACAAAATTAACGCATTCGAAAATAGCAGAAATTTAAAAAGTCGGTTAAGAAATATGCAAAGTTTCCGAAAAAAATTCTGTTTAAATCCTCGGCTTTAGCAGGACATTTTTTTTCAATCTGAGAGACGCTCCTGACATAAGTAGGAATTTTTGGTTGATTACATTTGTAGGTGCTTTTATAAACGATGATTTTCTTTTGTTGTCGTGATTACATTAATCTGTGTTTTTTTCTATTTTGGTGACGAGTAAAATCAAAATAAATGAGTGATCAAGGATATATATTTTTTAGCTTAGGTTCATTTTCTTTTATCTGTGTAGACGACTCCACACACACTTAGTGAAAGCCTTGGTATAGTTTTCTTCCCAATCCAATCTAGTGATAATAATCAAGTAATAAATAATTGTACTTAATTGACAGTTTAATACATGGTCCTAATAATGAATACCATACTTTCACTGCAGTTTTACGGTGTTATTATTCTCCGTCTTGTAAAGTTGAATTGTTTAATCAAGATGTATTTATTTCAATAAAACTTGAACATTTTATCGTACTGTTGTACGCTGTAGTCATTTCGGATTAGAATCGCGGATTTTGAACCTTCTTGGCAACTGACTAAACCCCAGAACTCCGGAACAACCCGGAAAAACTTGCAACAGGTAAATAGAAAAAGCCTAACCCTTATCTGTTAAATATTAAATATTCTTTTTGTTTGTTTTAAGCCTGAGAAAACAGCCAACGTTTCGGGACGCCACTAATGGTTTCCCCGCGAAACGAGTGCAGAAATTCCATACTAATGACGCGTCACTTAATTCAATCAGAAGCACTACCCAGATCCGGGTAGTGACGCGTCGTCAGCATGGAATTTCTGCGCTCATTCCTCAAACGTTATTGCGCCGGGAAATCGCGAAATGTTGCCTGTTTTCTCAGGCTGTTTTTTTTTTCACATGCCTAGCCAAAAACCATAATCAAAAGTAAATGGGTTGCTGATCAGTAAATAAGCTGATAGTACTGAGTTTTTCGCAGCTTACTTAGTTTTCGTTCACTAAAGTTCAAGATGATGGTGCTTTTTTGAATTGCCACAGTATCGCAGAAAGCTTTTCTCTGTTCCAGGAAGCTCGTAGACGTAGAAATCCTCACAGTTTCGCACTAGTATTTGTTGCTTGAAATAACAACAGTCGCCGTTCCAGTGAAAGCATACTTGTCTCATAACCGCACCCTCAGTTATCAGAGGATGAGCACCACTGAGCCACCCGGGTGCGTGTGTACCACAGTGAAATAACTTGACGCATTTATGTGGCATCCGCGATCCTAACAAATATTTAACACTAACATGTAAGTACTAAAGAAAAAAACAAAAAGGTGGGGCTTGAAAGTAAAATGGGGAAATGAACCGTTACGCGTTGCGAACTTTCGAACTATTTATATACAGAACATGAAGGGGACTGGTTGACCTAATTATTCCTTCTTTTGAGGATAAGAAAACTTTGACATACCGTAAAATTCCGAAAATAAGCCCCTCCATGTATGAGCCCCTCCAAATATAAGCCCCCAAACCGGTAACGTAAAAAACCTTGCGTTAAATCGCCCCTCCAAATATAAGCCTCCCGGGGTATGTAACTGGAAAATTGCCCTCAAATACAAAGTAAAATAAAGCAAAAACGGTAAATTTACTTCCAACTATAAGGCTAGCCCGATCAATTTCCCTCCGCAGATAAGCCCCTCCAAAAATAAGGCCCTCAGAAAGGGCCTTTGAAAAATATAAGCCCCGGGGCTTATTTTCGGAATTTTACGGTATTCATACTCTATATAATTTTTATACTACAAATGGTGATTGTGGAGTGATGATGGTGACAATTACGACAATGATGATGATGATGATGATGATGATGATGATGATGATGATGATGAGACAAGACTGTTAAGTATTGATACCCGCTTTTCCCATGAATCTGTGCCATCCAGGAGTAAGTCCTGCGTCGGTGAGGGACAGGAACGGATTATAAAATCCTCGCGCTCTGTCGGTTTCATTTAAAACGCCGTAGCTTTTGCATTCACGGGGAACTGTAACAAAATCATCGTGCAAGATTAGAGTCACCAAAAAGCCCGTCTCAATAAACATCATTATTATTTATCCAAAATATTCTCCTTTTCTGATTGGCCCAGATCCCCCAGCCAATTCTTCATATCCAGGTAGTGTTGACCAAAGTTGGAAGACGTTTGCGCTATCCAATAAAGTGACGATAATAGTGTATTATGTGTAATGCCATGCAAACGTTGGTTTGGTTGAAGGTCCTCAAAATATGGTCATTTTTCAGAACCTTGGAGGCTCAAATATGCCATTCTGTACGCGTGCGTATGCCCTTATACTTATGGTTCTGCGCTAGTGAAAACCGTTCTTTAGTAGAGCGGTTTTCACTTGACTGTCGAAAGTAATTGGTTTTGGTTTTGGTTTTGGTTTTACTACGCCCTTTGGTTGGCTAGTGTATTTACTTTGGTTTTGGTTTTACGACAGTCAAGTGAAAACCGCTCTAATCATTTACGTATCAATATTTGGGAATGTCGGGATAAATCCCCATTTGGAAATCACAAGCACGCGCGAGCAAGCTGCGAAAGACTGGGCGGGGAAAGCCGGACAGAAAGCTGCCTCTACTCCTCTCCCTTTCCACGCCTGGCTGGCAGGTAACCCGCTTGTGTTCACAGCTCCTCTCTTGATAACCCAGTAAAAAATTTGTACACAAGTTTTTCAGACAAACGACCGGGTGAAAAATCTACCAAACTTACCATCCTCAACTTTACTTCCGCAATATTTCAAAGGACATCTTGGCGTAGGTGGCAAAAAATACACCATAAATTTCCCGCAATTCCTCACTTGAATACTGATCTTCTCCTTGCAACATTCCCCCTCTAGGTGAAAACACACACTCCTTTTTACCCTCCCATCCTGGGGCATTGGATGGTCGCCGTTCAGCCAACCTGGGCCGTAAGCACCACAGTGAAATTTGGCCACGCATGTGGTTGGCATCATCTGCCCGGCTTTTCCTGTGAATCTGTACCAGCCAATCTCTAGTTTATCGTCGCATCTTTTATCGTAGGCATCGTAGTTAGTTAAAGACCGGTCACGGTCATTTAACTCACTGTATTCTTTGCATTCGTCTACATCAGGGTTAGCTGCAGTCAGAACCGTAAAAATTTGCAGAGAACATAAATCATCATATCATTTTGCCAGACTTTAACCAGATTAACGAGCCTGTTAAGCAGGCTGGTCTGGGCCGGTTATTCGGTCCATGGGCCCGGTTCTTGAGAAAGTCCCGATAATTAAGGGCCCGTAAAGCTGTTGTTGTTTGATTGAAAATCCAAGTCTTAGAAGTTTTGCAGATAACATGAAAAGTAGATTAGTTGATGAAACAAATGGACAGGTTTGACGCTTTTATTCTTAAGATTTTGAATTGAACATTTGATTTTGGACCCGAGAGGAAAAGTTACCGGGACTTTCGAGAAACGGGTCCCAGGTGTGAGTGACCGACTTCGGACCGTCTGACGCAATCAAACTTGCTAAATTTCATGCACTCCAGACTATAGGGGGTATGCATAGGAGCTCCTGGGGGAACAGGTACAAGTTTTAATCAGCGCTATGATTTCTGGGGTCGTTGGAATGGACAAGCATGACTTTAATACTATGATCGATCTTTTAATTTCAAAAGAGCGTGCAGTATAGAAAGCAATACATTTCTTTTGTTTGTACTGCACGGATCATTTACAGTGTATGGCTGTGAATTTCTTTTTCATCACCAAGGAAGAAACAATTCATCTATTAAAACAGCTATTATTTTCACTGCGCGATTCACAGAACTATCCAGAATCACTGAGATAAACAAAAAGGAAACCTTAAACCTTTTAGTGCGCGCAATCCTATTGATACTTCGAGTATGACGAAACCTCGGGATGAGATGTAAGAGTACCTAATGGTGAAATGAGCAAAGACGAACAAGCATGGTATCTGGTTCAATTCGTGACTATAAAGGCATATACGATGGCAGTTTCAGTGAAAAATTAGCGAAATACGTCAGCAGCTTTATATTTTTTACCTATTCAATAAGAAAGATTGTTTCACTTACAGCTGAAACTCAAATATTTCGAAGGCTGGTAAAAGCAATGACTCAAGTTTAACCTAACATCTGATATTGACGCTGAAGTTTTGCTGAATTTGCCGGGGGGCACGCACCAGGTAGGCTTATTTTCCTTTTCAGTGATTCCTTTGAGCAAAGCTAAAAGCTCTATTCTTTCTATTAAATAGTTCTGAAAGATCTCCGCGAAAGAGACAAAGAATCTTTGTGTTATTTCAGTTGAAACTCTCTGCACTCAAAATTCATTAGAAGTCGGCACAATTGAAAAGAACGATGCTATAAGCTGGTTAAATTAAGGAAATTAAAACGAAGCGTTTTCTACGATAACAAGTCGCTGATTGAGACAGGAATTCGTACACAACATGTAACTCACCTTTACAGAGCACGAGACCTAAAATACCAAGCAGTATACACGCTTTCAGCCGAATACTCGCCTTACTCATGTTGTAAAAAGCAACCAATATATGATAAAATGGTTTTGTTAATTCACGAGAGGAAGAAGTAGTGACAATAAGTGTTGACATCAAACATCCGTTTGAAAAATATATTAGAAAAAAAGTTGACATTGAAGACTGTAAATTCTGCTAACCCAATCACTGTTATTGTGATGGTCGGTTCCTAGTTAAGGAACAGGCTGCCGTGAACCAAAACAACGCCTAAATAAACTAAAATTCAAATCTTCAAAAAATGCACTTTATTTGAGTGTCAATGTATTTGGCAGGAAAGTTTAACGCCTCCTTCTGGAGACGGGAGAACCGTATTAAGAGATCATCGGAGTCACGCAAAGGTCGCAGGGCAAAGGAGTACCTTCATTTTCCAGTTATATTTTTTAAAAAACCCTGAGTATTGGCCCGGCAGCTTACTAAGAAAGTTATCCGCACCACGGCTTTCTTTCAAAATGAAGCTAGGTTCAAAACTCTCCGATTGAAAAGGAGTTTTATTTGCACGAGCACGAAAAGCATGGAAAATAGAAGGAACAAGAGCCATTATTGTGGCTGTAGGAAAAACTGGATACTGAGGAAACGCATATCACGTGACTGGTATTCTAATCGCTGATTGGTTGTTTCTATCTTGCTCTTCATTCCTTTCCTTCAAAACATTGGCAATTTTTACAATCGATGATCGGGCTCATACAAGGAAAAAATTACACGCGCAAAAAGTTGAATGGCTCTAGCTCTTCTCAAATTTTCACTATTTTGAAACCGATCACGTCAGCCAGTTTCCTATTCAGTCCTTCTATGTTCTATTGGAATCACGTCATACTCCTCTGCGTTCTGCCACAAAGTTCGTGGCAACTTAACACGGAAATGGCCGCCTCATAATGTAATATTCTAACCAATAATAACCAAGGTTTCGGAGTGCGGGCGACAAAGGACCGGATCAATGGTCAAAACGCTTTTGCTCCATCGCTGTGTTTAGCGTAAGTTTCACCATAGTTAATTGAGTGGAATGGTTATGAAACCCGTCAGACTCCTTTGTTATATGTTTTTGTGGACCTGAAAGTGCACAACGTTCAAAAGAATTCCTGTCATTTTGATTGTATTGACCAATAAAAACGTTGCATTAATTTATTCCGTAACAATTTGCCAACAGAAAACAAAGGATTGTGCACTTTCAGGGTGCTTCCAACATAAACTACAGCACTGTTTCCCGCTTTTCATAACCAGTCTCCTGGGTGTTTCTTGGTGTTGCGGAAACTATTGTTGGTTAGCTTTTGTGTTGTGGTGTGGGTATTGTTCAGTGTCTTTTCAATCTTTTGTATTACGTCATTGGTGTCCGCAACACCAAGAAACCCCCAGTCTCCTCTAATAACTATGGTTTCACGGGACAGATGGTCGAAACATTCGTGATCAGATTACGAGTAACAGAAGGTCCAAACGCAAGTTATATCAAATTGCGTTCTTTGCATTCCATTCATTCTTAGTGGAAGTCCAAATGAATGCTGGCTACATATATGGGACGCATGCGTAATATGAGCATGGAGATTAGGATTGCCGGCTCCTCTTGTCGCTCTCAATAATATTATTCTTCCTGAAACCTGTATTTTACTCCCAAAGTATTGCTAATTAAAATTAGCTTCCTCATAAACTAACTGCCAAAATCTTTTTCATGAGGTTTAAATCGACGAAGCAGATTCTGCCGTAGCCACAGAGCTGAATTTCAGGGTTCTCATGCCCTATTATTGCGTGCTAGATCAGGAAAAAAAACCTACCATGATATATGAATAATCCAAGCGCCTAACATTAACTCCGTAAAAAAGCCCGTGGGTCTCCTTAGCAACCACGCGTATCCCATTGGCATTATCTGCCCAGTTGTCACCGAAACAAATACATTACGTTGTATTAGTCTAAAAGCAATTGAAAACTGGGAAAGCTGACTACCAAAAACAGCTCATTTACTCCTTAAAATGCTCCTAAAACCTACACAAGAAGTAGTATTACTGTCCCTTGCTTTAATTTGTACACTTCTTCAAAATTCCCAACAAGAGCTCATTCAAGGTAAGAAATTTTCAGTGGGTACTTTTGCGTTGTAAATAATTCGTGAAAGCTAAGTCCAAAGATTCATTACGAGTTAGTCGTAAATCCGTTGAAATCTCTTAACTCGTTCAGGACTAAAAAATTATTAATCAGGCTTTGCTTGAAAATGAAGAGACTTCCTTGAAAATTTAACCCATTTCTTTAACAAAAACTGCTTTAATATGCAATCCGTAAAAAATGAATAAATGAAGGACCTTTTTTGCATTTTATTTAGTCCGCGTACTGACATCGATTGACTTTTATCCTGCAAGTTTTATGACCGCCTTTCATGTTACGTTTTTGACGTCTATTGCTTCTTACATGTATTCAATGTTTTGTCATGCAGATACATATGAAGGAGCCTTTTTTTCTCGTAAGAATTTTTCATTAAAACAAAATAATTATAACAGTTGTACAGAAGGTTTTGCGACCCGCAAATCTTCAAGGTTGCCTATTTCGAAATCGTATTTACTTTTAGGATCGCGCGACATGATAGTTCTGAGACGAGAAATGCGCGGCTTGCCTGTACGCATGTTTGGACGTATCACTGAACACAACAAAAAAAGTAGATCTAGTTCGGTTAAATTTAGTACATTCTAGACAAATCCTTTCAAAAAGCTAAGTGATCTGTCTGCTTGCAGGCAGTGGTAGTCTCTACTGTGTGAATTATTTATGCTCAGTACGAAGAGGTGCACTTTCGCATGGGCACAGACATTTTAGCCCGAAATCAGTGTTATCTGCGCCATCCAGTACAACTACTGCGGAATTGCGTAGACCTGGCTAATGAATCCCTTTCCTGAATTAAAGGGTGACCATTAGTTTGTGAATACTAATTATATGTTCTGATTTGTGTATCTCAACTCAGATGGATCCCTTCAGCAAGGCGAGGCAAACACGAAAAATACCATTAGCTGCGAAGATAATTGTTTTGTGGACTGTATGACAGATGAACTCAACGAATGTGTGGAAGCCTGTCGACGTTTAATTTGTCCAGCGATTTGACTTTGTCCGCGTGACCCATGCACGAGGTAACGTAAATATCGAAACTAAATGTCATTTTTCGTAGACATATGTAAATAGGTTTGTTAGGCATAAATGATTAGTGTTATTTTGTACATTTTATCTTCGTCTGTGTTAAACATTAATTTCTATACCAAAAAACAAACTAAAAGAGAAACAGAGTTCAAATCAAGGAGAAAATTCACCCGAACCACAGCGCTTTCCCCGGCTGACTTCTTTGTGAAAGAGTAGGGCACAGAGTGCCAGGTGTAGTGGTCTATCTCACTTTCACACTCATGTATGGGGTCATCATTATACTCATTCCTTCATTACTTGTAAACTGCACCTTAAGCAGTCTGGCAAAGTCCGCCAACCAGTGTTGTAAATTATCCCTGAAAAGGCCTGAGGTGAGCGGATAATATGAGTATTTACGTTTATATTTACACATTTACATTTGATATCCATCAACCGGCAGCAGGGACGCCTTACCTCTTGGCTCTCATATGTGGTACATAATTTCGTCGGTAGCCAATTCGCCTTCGCAGAGGCCTCTTTAA